AGTTGTATGTACTGTAGAGAGACATGAACTTACAACATCTGAAATATCTGACATTCTTCACTTATACTAACATCTTGTTATTTGCCTTTTGTTGTACAATTGATTTGACTGGCAGTGGTGACAAGAACGGCTGCGATGTCATTCTGTGTTGCGTCATCTCCATTTGTGGCATATTTGGTTTCATTGTGATATGATAACCACTGAGAGGAAGTGAGAAGTGGTGGACACAGCAAGTGACAAAGGGCATGACACTGAATGTATCCTCAAAGATGGACGACTAAAGTAACAAAAGCCACACTGTATAAAGGTACCCCCTATAAAAGGGAAGTCGGTGGCTGCCATTGCTGGCCTTCTTCTAAAAAAACGTTTTGGCTGAGCTGTCTCTGACTTCCATCCTTTAGGCCCCATTTACACCTAAACATTCTGTAGCTTGAAGCTTCAAAACTCTTAACATTCCCCCTTTTTCCAATGGTTGCTCTTCATATATAGCTCAATGCCTAAAGCTCCAGTAGCTACAAGAGATACTTTTAAGGCAGGTTTGGGCATTTCTGGTCCTATAGATTTCGAAGACAATGCCTGACCACAGTCAAAGGGGGTGTTTATGAGCATTTATTTCTGGCATATTCAGGTATTTTTTAGTTTGTAAGAGCTGGTCTCCTTCCCCTATTGCTTTCCATTTGCTAAAAAAAAAAAAAAAAAAAGGCTAAAGCTTGAAAATACACAAAAAAACTCTTCAAACACGCTTTTAAAATGCTTCTGTACAAACAATAAAAATACTTTAAAAAAAACACCTGAAAATCTGTTTGTTTAAAGTAATATCAAAGACATTTAAAAAATAAATAAATAACAAACATTATTATTATTATTATTATACAGTATTTATATAGCGCCAATAGTTTGCTCAGCGCTGTACATTATAATAGGAGACAGTACACGAGACAGTACAGTAACAATACAATACAATACACGAGGGGTTCGAGGGCCCTGCTCCTTGGAGCTTACAAACATGTCATACGTATTTGCTCTGTGCAGTGATATTGCACAGAGCAGCCCTGATCCTCCTCTTGTCGGGTCCCCCGCCAGAGCTTCAGGCCCCTCCCTCCTGCCGAGTGCCCCCAGATCAAGCAGCTTGCTATGGGGGCGCCTAAGCTGGCTCTTTCCTAAGCCACTGCTCTGCATGTCTATTCACACACTGAGCCACAGCTCAGCCCCACCCTCTCTGCTCATTTGCTGTGATTGACAGCCGATGGCTCTCACTGGTGTCTCAACCAATGAGGCTCTCATGCACAGTGCTGGATCGCGATGGGGTTTAGGAAAGTATTAGGAGGGGCTGGGTGGGGGGATCTGCACACATCAGGTTTTTTACCTTCATGCATAGAAGGCATCAAGGTAAAAACCTTGAGCTTTTACAACCACTTTAAGTATGAATGCAGCCTAAGCCACTGTGGGTGGAAGTAAAGAAAATTGCTTGATTTCTCCATCAACACAGTCAGTGTTGATGGGGGAATCCCTTTCGCAGTGCTATTGTGTTCAGCCGGTGGGGAGCCTTCCTTGGATCAAATGTCAGATGGTCCCTGCTGAACGGGATTTGATCCATCTATGGCCAGCTTTATGCTAGGTTCACAGATCTGTGAGTGGGGAACACGTGTGAAAAAGAATTCCTGAACTGCAGAGAAAAGTGCTGAACTAGTGTTTCCGTAGAGTGGCATTAATTGTTAATGGAACGCCCATGCATCGGCAACCGTGGTGCATATTTGCCTGCGCCAACCGCATGGTGCTTTAGTGACATGTGAGTTGGTGTGGTGCGATTTAAAAAAAGAGTCAGAGACTTCCTTCCCTGCATTTATGCAGATAGGGTAGCCCACTGAAATGCATGACCTGCCTAATGTGAACCTAGCTTTGGGCTACATCTACACTAGCATTTCCTGAAGGTAAAAAAAATAAAAACACGCATTGCGTTTGTAGTCCCACTTACTGTTAATAGCACCACAAGCACAACGCATTTTTCATGCTAAGAAAAGCAACAAAATGTGCAGCTAAAAAACTGTGCCAAGTTTAAAGCTCAAAAAGGTGCATGAGCTACTTTGCTACATTTGTTGATTGTAGGGCGGCACAAACAAATGAGCAGCCCTATGTGTGTAGTGTTACAAAGTGCAAAAAAAAAAAAAAAAAACCTCACTTCATAGTGTGAATAGGGTCTTAGGGTGGATTTACTAAAAGTGGTACAATCTGTTCACCTTAATAATTGTATGTATACTTTGCAGTGTTACCCCCCAGTCACATCAAGCCCGACTTTGAAATCATGCGACTTACAGTGAAGTTGCCAGATTTCAAAGTCGGGTGAGATTCCGATTTCAGGTGCGATTTGCAAGATATCTGACACAAATCTCTATGCAAATCACACCAAAAGTAGTACATGTACTACTTTAGAAATCGGTGCGGCTCCGACCAAGTCAGAACCGCACCAATTTGACCGATCTAATTGCGGACAATAGAGTGCGACTTGGCATATGATTTGCAAGTCGCATGGCATGCAAATCGCATGCCAAGTCGCACCCCATGTGACCGGGGTGTTAATGTTTAGCTGGCCATAGATGGATCGCAATTCAACCTGTTTAGCAGGGACTGGCTGAATTTTGATTCATCTATGGCTGTTCCCACCCAACAGAATTTGATCTAATGATCGACTTCGGCAATGCTGGAAAATATTCATTTGATTAGTGTCTGCAGCACTGATCAGTGTATTCTGACAGTGGAGGAGTCCCCGCTGTCAAAATACAGTAGCATAGCATGGAGGATTCCTCCATCCACCTTGCTTGTGTGAATGGAAGAATCCGTTTGATTTTTTTTGATCAGCCAGCCCATCTATGGGCAATGTTAGAAAATAAGGTAAACCTGTGTTCAAGATACTGAAGCCATTGGCTCAGTAAGACAGCCAGGCAAGTAGTATTTTCAGAAGAGATCAGTAGCATCCACCATATCCTCTCAATACAAATTCCCTTAAAGTGTATCTAAACCCAAGAGCAAAAATGTATATTTAGCAGCTTATGAGTCCTTAGATGCAGTGACTACATTTGGTTTTTTTTCCTGGCTTTCCCCCCTTTTTTTAATCTGGTGATGCTGCCAGTAGTACACTTTGTGATATAGGGTGACAATACTGACTCACTGTACTATATCTATGAAGGAGCAGGTTTATCACCCAGAACATAGTTACATAGTTAGTCCGGCTGAACAAAGACAAAAGTCCATCCAGTTCAACCATTAAAAAAAAAGGTATAATCCTATACCCACAGTTGATCCAGAGAAAGGTAAAAAAACCCAGCAAAGCATGATCCAATTTGCTCCTGCAGGGAAAAAAATTCCTTCCTGATCCCCCGATATTCCCTGGATCAACTTTATCTATAAATGTTAGTATCCAGTTATATTCTGTGTATCCAAGAATCCAGGCCTTTTTTAAAGCAATCCACTGAGCTGGCCAGAACCAACTCTTGACGGAGTCTTTTCCACATTTTCACAGCCCTCACTGTGAAGAAACCTTTCCGTGTTTTCAGATTAAATAGTTTTTCCTCCAGACGTAAAGAGTGCCCCCTTGTCCTCTGTGATGACCTCAGGGTGAATAGCTCTACACCGAGTTCACTATATGAACCACTGATGTATTTATACATGTTGATCATATCCCCCCTTAATCTCCTCTTCTCAGAAAATACATTCAGTTCCTCTAATCTTTCCTCATAGCTGAGCTCCTCTATGCCTCTTATCAGTTTGGTTGCCCTTCTCTGTACTTTCTCCAGTTCCCAAATGTTTTTTTTTTGAATTGGTGCCCAAAACTGAACTGCATATTCCAGATGAGGTCTTACTAATGATTTGTACAGGGGTAATATGATATCTCTCTCTCTGGAGTCTATACCTCTTTTAATACAAGAGAGGATTTTGCTCACTTTAGAAACCGCAGCTTAGCATTGTATGCCATTATTACGCTTGTGATCTACCAGAACTCCCAGATCCTTCTCCACCATTGATTCCCCCAGTTGTACCCCCCTAGTATGTATGATGCATGCATGTTAGGACTACAGAACACCCCCTCCCCTCTTCTCCATAAAGCATAGCAGGGTGATGTTCTGTAGTCCACAGAGAGAGCCCTCGCAGGGCTGATAACAACATATGAGATATCAGTGCAGTATTGCTCTGAGATGTGGGCTATGGATCAGGAAGTAATACTCCACCATCAGATCTGACAACTACTGAACTGTTTGACCTTTTAAAAGTGAAATTAACTAAAAGTGTGACGGAAGAGGGCTGTGCAGAGGGATTGCACAAAGCCAGATGTGATTGCATCAGCACTCACTCCAAAAGAATAATGAACTATTGCATCATGTCAGCCAGAACAAATGCACTTCCTCCAACCCAAGCCTTGACTTCTAGTACAGTCTAGTACAACCCTCCGCTTGCTATAACTTGGGCTCTATGAATAATTTAGGAACCACTCCAGGCATACATACAGTGTAGAAACACGCTTTACTCATATAGCCAATCAAATGCAATATCATTACTTTTTAAAGAGTGTGTGTCCTGGTTCTGAGCATATTTTTTTTTCTGTGTTTATTATGGTCAGGATTAAAAAAGAAAATACACAAAATATTTCCTAAAGCCAGGCAAATATTAATGTTACTAAACCCACAAAAGTAAAATCAGTCTGTATATGCAGTAAAGCATGCTTATTATACTCACTGTGGAACCTAAGGGGTTAATCCTCTGCGTTGTGTAAAAAGGCGGTTTGATCCTGTCTTCTTTGCCGCTCCTCTTGTTCAAATGTCCATGCTGATAAGACAGACTGAACCCATAGGCCTGCTGCACATGCTCAGTTTGGTGTGTATTGCTAGGGAGGTTTTTTTTTTTTCTGGAAGAGTGTATGTGCTCAGCACAGGACCAATCAGCACTGCTCAGACAGAGGCCAGGGGTTTTGCATCCTCCTAGAGCAGAAAGAAAACTCCCCCTTTAACCAGTGTTCAGCTGAAGTCCCAAGACTGCTCTGACTGCTGATGAGAAAAGGTATTTAGCAGTTTATATTTACTAAAATAATTGCATTTCCATGCTCAGTGTACTGTGGGAGACCAGATATAGTGAATGCAAGGTCCTGGGAGACCAGATATAGTGAATGCAGGGTCCCGGGAGACCAGATATAGTGAATGCAGGATCCTGGGTTTAGTAACACTTTAAAGGAGATCTAAAGCCACAGCATACACATTCATTTTACAGCTTTGTAATTTCAATACAAATGACAGTAAGTTTTGACAATCCAATATAAGCTTACTTGGAAAATCCCCTTTCATGGTGGGAGTTGTAACTGTCTGCTGGCCATCTCTTTCCACAACTTCCTGGATTCCTTGCATGCTTTGCAGCTTATCCTTTGATCATTCCATTGGTTTGATTTCTGTGTCTAAGGACTACATATCCCATGGTACCTTGCTGCCTGCAAGTAGGGATTCCTATACTGAAAGTCCTCCTCTCAGCTCATCTGTAGATCAGAAGGCAGGCTCTGTGAAGTGTGCGACACAAGCAGTGTATATTCCCAAGGCATGGTTAGTATATGTCACAGCATTGACAAAAGTAAATGATTCTTCAGAAAAAACTTGAAGATGTTTCAGATCAATAGGAGTAGGCTAGAAGTATATAAAACACAATGTAGACCGAGTATATGTTTTTTTTTTTTGGTGATGGCTACTGCTGTGCTGGCTTTTTAGCTAAGCTAAAGTGCTCTAGGATTCCTTGCATATGAAATATTTATTTATAAAATAAAGTATATATATGTGTGTATATAATATATATTTGGATTAGCACTACATAAGATCTGCACTAATCACATACATAAGTTAGTACCAAAAACTCTTGTGTAGTCCTGCAGTTGTTTGATTATTTACAATAAAGCGCCTAAAAAATCTAGATGCCAGTCTCCTTCAGTAGAACATTAAAGTGTTACTAAACACAGGACCCTGCATTCACTATTCCACGGTCTCCACACAACATGGAAATGCAATTACTGTATTTTAGTAAATATAAACTGTTAAATACCTTTTCTCACTAGCAGTTAGAGAAGTCTTTTGACTTCTATCAGTGTTCAGCAGAGCACAGGTTAAAGCTTGTAGGAGGAGTTTTCATTTTCCTCTCACTGCCCTATGAGATTGAATAACCTCTGACCCCCTGTCTTGTGCTGATTGGCCCTGTGCTGATCACATGCACTCTTCCAAGAAAAAGAAAAAACTCTCTAGCAGTGCACACCAAACAGAGTATGTGCAGAGTGTCCCTGAGGCTGTGTTCTATCAGGAGATGAAATGGGGAGTGTGGAAGAAGGGGAGGATCAGAGAAGACAGGATTAAATATCCTTTTTACACAATGCAGATTAACACCTTAAATCCCAGAGTGAGTATAACAAGCATGCTTTACTGCATATACAGACTGATTTTACTGTTGTGGGTTTAGTTACACTTTAATTATACTTACCTTTACAGGACATGACAGTAATGTAGGGGATCCAAAAGAGGGACAATCGCTCCAAACGAGGGCAGTGTAGTTTTTTGCACATTAACTTACATTCACTTAAAGTGTACGTCTATCTTGGATAGAAAGCCCTGAGATTAGAACTCCTGTTAGATTTTTACTGATATCTGGGGCTCTGTTGAGAGATTTACCCTTATTTCCTGTCTTTATGAGTTTTCACCTGACAGGGGTTCTAGTCTTCCCTTGCTCTGCAAAAGAAACTTTTTCTTTCTGTCTGTGTTGCTGATCTCTTCATATTCTATCTGTTAAAACCATTGTCATCAGGACAGAGGGTAAGGGTAAACCTGGAATAGAGCCCTGGATAGCAGTAAAATCTTCTCAGTGGTTCTAACGTTTCCCAACTCTATTTAAAACTAAGAAAAAAGTATTGCCTGGACATATACTTTACAGCAGCTCATGCAATTAGACTGGTGGTCTGTCCACATATGGCAAAAGAAGAAAAGAAAAGTGTGGTAAAGAACGGCACTGACACCACAAAAATGCACATTTCACCAAGCGTTACTGCAATACATTTTTAAGGAGGCCTCAAATCAGCATGCATGCCTGGAAATTCTATGTTCTCTATTGATGGTTTTCTGAAGGTTGCTTTAAGGTCTGGGCCTTGTCCAGGCGGGTCTATATAATAACGAAAAAAAAGTCAAAAACTAACAGATGAGGATTTATTTCCAACATCAAGGTAAAACAACAGCACAGTGGCTGAAATTCTCTATCGGTTTCCTGTAACACCTCTGACAGACATAAATCCGCAGAAGGCTTCTACATAAGCCAAGGCATGTTTTATCAGAGAGGAGAATGCTGAGAATTTACTTCTGTTAGGCAGAAGATAAGAAACTGCCTTACTTCATAGACAGTTCATTTCTGAGCTATGTGATGATGTGTAAATTCTGTGCGAAAAATATGAAGGGAAGCAGGTCAAGAACAAAACCTAATTTACAATAGAACAGCAAATCCTTACAAGACTGATATGGGTAGCATTGGTGGGTTATATCTCTTAGACAGTCCAGCTGTGGGATTTTTGTCCACCTGCCACAACAGATATAACAGGTTCTTCCTCTCCATGTTGGATATTTAACTTGAATTATGAAGAATGCAGCAGAAAAAGTGAGAACCAGTGACATCTGGGTGATAGATCTGGTGTATTTGATAGGGTCCCAGGGAGCTATATGGAGCCAGAAGACAATGCAACTTAACACTTTGTACTCATGGCTGAAATACACTGACTCATTAGGCAGCCTTTCTTAACTTTTTATACCTCACAGGAAACTAAAATCATTTTCAGGTCTTGGGGAACCCTCTTAGATCAAAGGAAATAATGCTCCTTACATAGGTGGCAACCCTTACAGTGGTTGTCAGAGTGCAACCATTAAAGACAGCTAAAGACAAATGTAAAACATTATGGTATATCTCAATGGCCTCCAAACTGCAGCTCAGGGGCTGGTGCCACCCTTTGCTTGCTTTTATCCGGCTCTTGGGGCAATATTTCATCCTTTGACACAAACAATGGGGCATAATTCCCTCCATTTACACCAATGAAGGGGCATAATTCCCTCCATTTACACCAATGAAGGGGCATAATTCCCTCTATTTACACCAATGAGGGGGCACATTTCCTCCCAATGACACCATCGATGGGACACAATTCCTTCCAATGACACAGTTCCTCTCAGTGACCCAAAACAATGGGGCATAATTCCCTCCATTTACACCAAAGAAGGGGCACATTTCCTCCCAATGACACCATCGATGGGACACAATTCCTTCCAATGACACAATTCCTCCCAGTGACACTAACAATAGGGCATGATTTTTCCAATCCAGTGACAACAGCAATGGGGCACAATTCCTCTCACTGACACCAAAAATGGAACATTGTTTACTCCCACTGATGCCAGGACCTCTCCCCTTAAAGCCTGGAGGACAGTAAACTGGCCTCTTGTTTTGAGCTGGAGAGTTTGGAGACCCCTGATATATTTGGATCCATTTCACATCATCAGATACTTTTAAAAAATTGTTCTCCTCTTTAATACCCAACATGCCTTCATCTCCTTCCCCTACTTGCAGCTAATTATGGGGACAAACGTGGTGGGAAAACTAAGAATTAAAGGAACCCCCTTGTGCACCCCCTGTCTCATAGATATTCTTCACATGTTCTCAATTTGTGTTTCCATTTGGCCATTCCTAGACCTGCATCTAACTTATCTTATACATTCTCTTTTTTTTTTCCAGAATTTGGGCTTGTACCCTTTTATTCTTCTCACTATACTATACTATATTATCCTTTCTTCAGTTCTACTGAATCATAGAAATTATAATTCCTGCACAGAGGTTAGTGGGCGTTGAACTATTCTCTCGCGACTACCTCTTTATTTACTACCGATTTTTCATTACCTTGGAGTCAGACAAGAGCCGTTTGTAAGGTCTTGGTTTGATTTAAATGGAACATATACTGCATGTGCAGCTGGATCAGAAAATATTTTCAGTTGTTTTTCTTTGGACGGTACTGTACTGTCAGTATCTTTTCATGTGACAAATAATAAGAAATTATATTTGACTATAAAGACAGCTATATATGTCTGGTGTATTGCATATCTGGTGGTCATGCCCGAGATGTGTTTCGTTTTTGATCTCGTGTGTTTGGCCTCCTTTTCACCTTGTTCCATCACTCCATATGCTGGGATGCTCGGTATGCTTTGCTTCATTGTCCTATACCGGGCCTCTTGGCTCACCAGCAGAAGTTGGCTTCCTATTTGTTTTTGTCGGCCACTAGAACAATTGCTCAGGCATGGAAGAGCCCGTTTGTCCAGCCCGTTTGTCCCTCTTCAGGGGGTACGGGACCGTATGACCACTATGATGCTCAATGAACAGATGTCGAGTATCTGTAACGACTCCCAACGGAAATGTATGAAAATATGGGAGCTGTGGTTGCAATATGCATTTCCCACGCTCCCCCTGGCTAGTCTGGGGTTGTGATGTTGCTCAGTATTGGTGTTCTCAGACCCCTGCTCTTGATCTTGTCATCTTTTTCCTTTTGTACTCCTCCTTCCTTTTCTTTTTTTGTTTGTTTTTGGTGTGGCAGTGGATAGCTGCCTTTGGTTTGAGTTACTGTCGGTGTTTATACCAATGTTTTTGTCATTTATGTGCCATTGATAGCCCCTGCGTGGGCGCACCTTTTGCTCTGTTGGTGTTAGAGCACTGTTTTTTTTTTTTTATGTGCAATTGATAGCCCCTGCGTGGGCGTGTTTTGTTGCTCCTGTCTTCTTAAACTGTTTATAAATTAATAAAAATATTGAAATACAAATGGCGTTGGTACCATCATATTGGAGGTTAAACAGCGACAGCTCAAGGAACCCCTAGCAATCTTTGGAAGAACCATATGGTTTCACAGAAACCTGATTGAAAATGGCTGCTTTAAGGCATATAGTAGTTGAAGAGGTCATATATTGAGAAGTGTTCTAGGCACACAAAAATCTTGTTTTCCCAAAGCAGAAGCTATGTTGCTGCATTCTGCCATATTACATAACCTAAAGTCGTGCCTGTGAATAGCTCCTAATTAGAAAAGCCAAAATGATGTCTTGTTGCCGCA